CAGCACTATGGTCCTAAAAATCAGGGACACTGGAGTCCCGGCCTCCTGGATTCAGCCGACTCGCAGCCTCAAGCCGACTGGACTGCACACTGCCACGCCAGCCGCCCCATCTCGTGGCAGATTTGGGAACACCAGTTCCTCCCTGTACGACTCCAGGACCCGTGCATCCTGTCCAATATGGCACTGCTACCTGAATAGCAGAGCCAGACCCCTCCTGAGGATAAGGGGTCCTCCCCAACCAGGCAAGGAATCATAGAATGTTTTGGGTTGGAAGGGACCCCCCCAAGAGGCCATCTAGTCCAACCCCCCTGAAGTGAGCAGGGACACCGCTAACTAGATGAGGTTCCTCAGAGCCCAGTCCCCTTTTCTCCTCAGCTTGTCTTACTTGCAAAGGCCCCAGCATCACACTCATCCATGGATTTATCCAGCCTCCGATATGCCTGGACACAGGAGGAGAGCAGCTCACCCGAATGCATGGAAGCCTGGTGGTTCCTCTTCCAGGCAGAAGTGTAAATCCTGCGCAAGCAGAACCAAATCACAGCAAAGTGCGACCCAGTGCCTCTTTTCCGCCCAAAAAGCCTCAAGACAGGCTGGCACTAAGCAGACAAGGGGATTTGGGGGAAGGCTGCTCAGCCCCAGGCAGCACGGAACCACAGCAGCAGGGCGGTTGCCGAGAGGCTGGCTCCTCAGCCACGGCTTGAGATAGGCTCTGCACTAAGCATCAGCTGCCCCAAATTACTGGGGTGTGGGAAGAGGGGTGATTTCTTAAAAGCCTTTCTGGCTCAGCCTTCAAATTAATCCCTGCTTTTGCCAGCACATTTCCTTTATGCCCCAAACACGGGTGCGTAACTGGGCTCTGATTACCTGCGAAGGCTGCGCTCGCTTCTGCTCCAAGCAAGCTCTTGGCCAACCTGCGATGAAGGGCTCCTTCCTCCCACCGCTGCAGCTCACTACGTCGACCCAGCTGGGGGTGGTGGTGATTGGGAGCCTCGTGTAACATCATCCGAGGGGCAGAGATGAAAACACCGCGTTCACTCTTGGCATCGCTTTGGACGTGTGTTTACTGTGCCTGTAACTCAAGAGGAGTCGTGTTTGGATTGCGGGCTCCAATTTGGCAAAGGGGATATCGAAGAAGCGGTTGGGAGCCAAGAACATTAAAGGATGGCTCAGCTATGCCTCCAGGGCCACCTTCCCCTTGTCAGTGCCCTTAAATCTGCCTCCAGGGTTTGATAGCCTGGCCTGGAGTATTTCTATTATACAGAGAAAGCGGTGAGTGCAATTCCCCCTGGAAGGAGGGGGAAACCAGCATTACAAGGACCACCCTAGCCCAAAGCTTTGCAAGGACTCACCGCTTTAAAGCAGTGCAATAACTGCTTCGTTTCCCTCCTCGCCCAGCTTTTGTGCTCACCATCTCCCGAGCGCTGGTAGGTACCAACACAGAGCCATGACTCGCTCCCAGCCAGAGCAAGGGGGCGCCTAAAAACTGGGCTCTGATTACCTGCGAAGGCTGCGCTCGCTTCTGCTCCAAGCAAGCTCTTGGCCAACCTGCGATGAAGGGCTCCTTCCTCCCACCGCTGCAGCTCACTACGTCGACCCAGCTGGGGGTGGTGGTGATTGGGAGCCTCGTGTAACATCATCCGAGGGGCAAGCAGAGATGAAAACACCGCGTTCACTCTTGGCATCGCTTTGGACGTGTGTTTACTGTGCCTGTAACTCAAGAGGAGTCGTGTTTGGATTGCGGGCTCCAATTTGGCAAAGGGGATATCGAAGAAGCGGTTGGGAGCCAAGAACATTAAAGGATGGCTCAGCTATGCCTCCAGGGCCACCTTCCCCTTGTCAGTGCCCTTAAATCTGCCTCCAGGGTTTGATATTATACAGAGAAAGCGGTGAGTGCAATTCCCCCTGGAAGGAGGGGGAAACCAGCATTACAAGGACCACCCTAGCCCAAAGCTTTGCAAGGACTCACCGCTTTAAAGCAGTGCAATAACTGCTTCGTTTCCCTCCTCGCCCAGCTTTTGTGCTCACCATCTCCCGAGCGCTGGTAGGTACCAACACAGAGCCATGACTCGCTCCCAGCCAGAGCAAGGGGGCGCCTAAAACCTCTGGCCACTACACCCTGGCTTGTCCAGGAGTCAGGAGAGAAGGAACAAAGTGGCAGAGCTCTGCAGTTTGCTAGCAGCGCCCAGTTCTCACCTTGGGTGCTGCATGCAGGAGCCCCAGGAAGGGTGCACAGAGACCAAAGGGACAGGTACTTCCCCAAGAGGATCCCATATCCTTCTCTCCTGGCAACCGCCCCCCTGTGTGAGCCCTCTTGCTCATCCAGTGCTTCTCCCTCTCAACCCAAGCTCCCTGGTACAGGAATGCATCTGCTGAGCCTTCCTTTCCAACAAAGGAAGGGATAATGACAAGGCCTCTCCATTTCCTTCTAGGAAGACCAGAGACCGGCAGGCTGCGGATGCCGGTGGCGAGGCAGATGCGATTTCTCCCCAAACAGACCCCGCCATTCTCCAGCCTCTCACCAGAGCACAGGAACCTTTCCCCTCGCCCATTTTCCTCCCTGCTGCTACTGCTGGCTCATTGCAGCCCACTAGAGAGAGAGGAGGAGGAGGGGTGCCAAGAGCAGGATTTCAGCAAGAGACAAAACATCAAGTTAAAGATTAGCCCTGCTTGGAGGAGCTGGGAGACATGCAAGGGGCAGGGGGGTCACCATCCAAACCAGACAGGTCCCTTTGCTACGGCACAGCCATTTCGCAGGCATGTTCCTCTCCAGAGGCAGGTTCTTCCCCTCAGCACCCGGGTGATGCCCAACTGGTCTCCCAAGGGCCCAAACCACCTCGTCACAACCCAGGATTAGGAGAGAAAACACCTCCTTGTTGGAGGAGAGACAGCTCTGGAGAGCATCGGGGGAACTGAGAGCCCCAGCAGCACCGGGGGAGAGAGAAACACCCAAGAAACGGGCCCACCAAAGGTCTGCTTCACCCCAAGGCAATCGGTACAGATGGACTACTCAAACCTCAGCTCCTGCTCAAACCAGCCCTTTGGAAGGATGCAAAGTAAATAAAGAAGGGAGAAATAAAATAAGAGCCAGGTCCCTGAGCTCCAACCCCACTAGATGTCCCTCTTGGCCAGGACACAAG